TGCATTCCTATGGGAAATGGTGCTTCGACTTATGACCATTTCAAGTTATGACCATCTTCCTGAACCAATTAAGTTCGTAAGTCGAGGCACCACTTTAATAGTTTGAATTCCAAGGTGGAATATACACATTAATCATAACATAAAATTTGATGTTTAACTTTAAAGATATTGCCATAGGGTTGTAAGTTACTAATGAACTGGTCTTCCCCTTTCAATGAAGTCATTATGCAACAGGCTTTTCCCCACCCCAACCCCGCGTCATCCCTGATGTCTAGATGAGTTTGCAGGGGGTGCAAAGGTTTTATAGTAATTTAGAATGACATCCTCAGCACACCATATTTCCTGTAGGAATATAACATCAAAGGATTTAAGATACACTTTGAAAGAGCATTGAGATCTTTTTGGGGGCCAGCTAGAAATGTTCCAAGAGATATACAGTGGTGCCTCGCATAGTGAGGTTAATCCGTTCCGGATTAACCCTCGCTATGTGAAAACATCGCTAAACGGAACGTTAAAACCCATTGGAATGCATTAAACATCATTTAATGTGTTCCAATGGCCCCTAAACTTACTGTTCAGCAAAGTTTCCTCCATAGCGGCAGCCATTTTCGCGCCCTCGGTAAGCGAGTGGAGGGCACGAAAACGCTGCGCGTGGCCATTTCGGGGCTTCCGACGGCCATTTTGGAACCGCCTAACAGCTGATCCGCGGGCGTCGCAAAGCGAAAATCGGTAAGCGAAACGCTTAACGATCGTCGCGATGTGAGTTTTGCCCATTGCGACAGTCGGTATGCCTCCGCATTAGCGATCCCGAAAAAGGGATCGCTATGCGGATTCGTCGTTATACGGTGCGCTCGTTAAGCGAGGCATCACTGTATTTCAAATTCTCTGGGGCTCTTCATTGTCAGAAGGCGCCACAGTGATCAGCTTGCTCCATCAAAATGTCTTGAATTATTTGATTGAGCGAAGTGTCCAAACACACTGCACCTTTTGATCTGGAATCTGCTTGCTGAGTCACAATAGATATGGTGGTTCAAAGTTTATATCAAAATTTATATCAACTGTTAATATTTCTGGGTTTTTTTGGTGGTTCAAACTGATCATTTTTTAAACATTAACTGAAAGGACTTGATAGG